TGGAACGTCGCCGACGTAACTCGGCGCGAGACGCATCGCTAAAGTTGAAAAAAAAAAAAAGGGGGGAGAGCGGATGATAACAAAGCGCATGCCATGCGTTTGTGAACTAATATCTAAAGAAACCCAGGCATTTTGCAAACAGACATAAAAGAGACGTAAAAAGATCTAGGTCAAAGACCTCGTCGCATCGAGATCGATCTGTTCGCGCCTTTGAGGAGACGCGAGCCTCTCACGAAGAGACGATGCGTACATATGTGTGTATGCGTGTGTACAGGCACTTGAGGTAAAAGACCGTTCCGGATACGACCAGGCCTTCGAGATCGAACCGCGCGCTCCTTTTGTAGTCTCTCCCAGAAATCGAAACCGTATAATTTCGCTGAGTTCAATTTTCGAGTCGAAAGGAAAATGTACTTTGCGCCAATTGTCGCGCTTTTCTATTGAAACGGAAATCTTATAAATGAAAAAAAAATCCAATAGCTCTTCAATGTTAATAGTAACGACAGTTGCGGTCACAGAACTTGTAACGATATGTAAATTTTTCATTACTATCGTTCGTTTTACGAAATTGTATAACTGTGTCATTTGCATACTTTATATCATTGGAAAAATCAATTTTAAGAATGTTAAGCGCGCTGCATTACTAAAGCTCAATCTATTTAAATATTAATAGTCCCGGACAGCATAAAAGTCCGAAAGACGTCATAAAAGTATTAAAAAAAAAAAAAAAAAAAAATGCTAAAATAATTTAGATATCTTTGGAACATATTTTAGATGTCTTTAAGATATCTTTCAAAGATCTTTCGGATTCTTTGTGCTGTCTGAGAGTTCGTTTTGTTATTAGACGATTTGGCTACAACTGTCTCACACGACTTCCCCGCCAATCAAGACTTGAACTCAGACTCTCGATTTCTGTTGTCATTGCCCGAGATTAGTGATTAATCACAATAGCAGTTACTAGTGTAATTACAGCGGTGATTGGCTACTGTCGGTGGCGGCGGTTACATATAGACTACGATGATAACAAATTTGTAATTATAGTAAATATAATAAGAACATATTATTTTGTATATAATAGTAATAATCGCAGCACACACAGATCATGCGCACACACTAAACACGCATCTCTCAAAAAACTAGTCAAGCAAAACTAAATGACTGAACAGGTTTCCCGAAACAAAAGTTGTTCAAAACAAAAAAGTAAAAAATAACAAAAGATTAACAAAAATTAGAAGCAAGAGAGGAGTCGGAAAAAATCATATTCGCGAAATCAGAACAAAAGGAGAGAAAAAAAAATCTGCCAGTCGTGTGTGTCGTTGTATATATTGTATATTCGTACGCGCGCGGATTCTCTCGAGAAGTTTGCCTCGCGATTAATCCCAGAACCCAACTGTAGTTTCGTGTCGTATTTCTGGATAAACTTTTACAACGAGATTGCTGCTCCAAATGAGTCAATTTCTATGGAAAACAGTTGGTTAAGACACTGTGGCAACTTATTGTACTTGTCATTTAGTCTTAAGCAAATATAAGAGATACAATTCGTCCGTTATGTAAATTCTCGAGCAAATTGTTTAAAAATATATAAAAACCAGTCTTGTAGCGCAGACTTCATTACTCTTAACATTTCCCCGTTAGTTGAATGTACGTTCGCGTTGAATAGTCAGGTTCTAAGATTAAAAGGTTCCCCGGATTTCTGTATGCATGACGCGACTTCGCGAGGAGTTCCGCTCGCTCGTGTGAAATTCTTTAGCTTGTAAGAATATCGCACGAGCTGTGGATATAAAGCTGTGTGTGTTTATATACGTGTCGACGAGAGACGAAAAACGTTTTTACGTTGCCTCTCGAGGTCTCAATTAAAAAACGAATTATTGTTTTCTTTTTTCTCGCAGGAAAGTACCAGCGAGGATCGCAGTTTTTATCGTTTCTTAAATTTTCGTTGTTCGTATAATTTTCTTATCACATACCGTCTCTATATAGATAAAACTGTAGATCTCTCTATGTGTGTGAATATCTATCTATCTATCTTTCTTTCTCTCTTTCTCTCTCTCTTTCTGTCTGTGAGTATATCTTATCAATCTTGACTGATCTTCCTCCCTTCTACTTTGTGTTCCTGTGTTATCTTCTCAAATACTTAATTAATCTTTTTTTCTAGAAAAATCAGATCGCAAAAGACGTGAAGAGAGTGCTGTCTAAGAAATATAATCAAGTATATAAACTCAGTAAAAACAGATTCACAGAGCGCTCCGAGTGCGAGTATTCAAAACGAGATTACACACAAGTTCGCATTCGCGCACGCGATTCACGATCCGTGCGCGCGCGCACACACAGTTTCCAATCGCGTACTTGTTCGCACGTAACATCGATTTTTTTTCTCTTCGTTGCTAACTTTTGCGCGTGTGAATAGTCGACGATTCAGGGCAGTAGCACTCTTATGGCCACCGCACCTTATATAATCTCTCTCACACGCTCGTATATATGTGTACATATATATATATATATATATAACACTATGTATAGATACCTATAAAATGTTGATTTACGTTCGAAACAACATACATATAGGGAAGCACATTATTTTCACTTTTCAAAGTATAAATTGCTACAGTATATATTGTACAAAAATTTCGTAACTGCAAAAAGTAGAAAAAGATCGTTGTGACTTATACACCTTAAATCTTTAAAAGTTTAGATCTGACTGGATTAATACTAAAACGAAACTTACGTAGCGCGAAGTAATGTGCAAAATTAATATTATTACAATACAATGCGTTTATCGGTTTGATAAAAAGTAAAATTTTCTCTTTTGCGGAAATGCGCGCTCACTCCTTTTTTTTCTCTTTCTAGTAGCACTCGGTTTTCTTACAAAAATCTTACCAAGAGCACAACCTTACCTTAAGAAAGTAAATCAGAAAAAAAAAAAAAA